CTCTTGCCTCAGCCTCCAGAGTAGCTGGGACTACAGGTGCCCAGTTATTTTTAGAGAGGGGTCTTGCTCTAGCTAGGCTGTTCTCCAACTCCTGAGCTCAGGCGATCCACCTGCATCGGCCTCCCAGGGTGCTACGATTATATGCATGAGTCACCGTCCCAGCCATTGTGTTGGTTTTAAATATTATCCCACAGAACACACCTAGAACACAGTTCTAGTTCTGTGTTTTTTCTATTCACACAACTTCTCCAACACTGAACTCAACTTCAGACAGACTCATGTCACCTCCAAATTACTTCCCTGGTAACCTCCTTCTCCTGGTTTTCACAGCTGGAATGTGGGGTGCCCTCCTCCTCTGCTCAGTCCTGCCTGCCTTATTGGCTGACTTCTGCTGGCTCTTTTTAAAACTGCTCCCTAAATCTATTGCTCCCTTCTTTCCCACCCTCTACACTGGTACTTGCACCATTCTGGGATGGGATCAACAATATTATGTCCTCCCCAACCCTTCTCAAAGCATTCTCAGTGCATGCCTGGACTTGCCTCCCCTAACACCAGTCTCCTACACCTCCTTACTGGACAATAATCTGTTTTCACAACCCATGCAACGAAGTTTAGATTTCTCTGACATCCGAGGTCTTCTGTCTTTATCTAGTTATCTTGATCTCAAATTTTGTGCCCAAGTCTTTTTTTCTCCCTATCCCTGAATTGCCAGCTCATTCCTAATAGTGGACACGGTTAGCTTTGTTGTTGAGCGTGCCTGCCCCTCCCCTCCTTCATCGTTAACAGCACCGGCACTTTGGAGTACTGTCTCTCCCCCATGTTATGTGACTCCAGTGGGGCCACCAGTCAGCGTCCATATAGAGTAGATTTGTGATTATGGTGATGTCAGATCCTGGTTTTCCCTGAGGAACCCCTATTTATGTTTTTTGTTCCAAAAAGGTACTAATAGCACCCCATTTTCATTCCCCAAAGTGTCCCAATTGAGATCATGTTAGTCACCCTAAACATGACCCCAGAAACCATCAGAGCCCATCCGTGGGTGCTGATGCAAAGGTGGGAGACACTCCATATGTGGCCTCTGTTGCCGGTTGCCAGCTGTCATCTCCCTGTCTCACAGAGGAGGCCGCCCTGCAGCAAGGAGCCAGCACTCAGGGTGAAATTGAGGAGTCAATAAACTCCCCTCATGGGAAAATCTACTTTGAGTTTTGGGTTCTTGTCACTTGCAATCGAGAGTTCAAGGGCCCTTGGAGCCTCCTCTGCAAAGCTTTCTTGTACACTCCAGCTGGCCCCTTCAGGCTGTCGATGGGCAAGTTTTCCTCCCTGAGTTCCGACAGTGATTACAGCTTTGGGCACAAACCCCCATAAATACAATGTTTGCACTTGTCGTCCAGTTGTTTCAGGGTGTGGAATTTCTTTTTCCTATGAGAACAACCAGACCATAAGCTCCCAGGGAGTTATGGGGACCAGCTGAATCCTTTTGCGTTTTCTGGAGGCCTGACAGGGTGCTGTGCACACAGCAGGTGCCCAGTCAATATTTGTGAGGATGTGAATTATAAATGCAGAGTTAATATCGACTGAGCATGCAAGCAGGAGAGTGTCCTGGGGGAGATAGGTAGTGGCAAGTCTCCCGTCTGACTTGGAAGAAGGACAGCGTATTTGTGTCTTTCATTAGGCGTCCAAGCGCCTTTCACCAAGGCTGCCTTTCCTCTGCGCATGTTCACACTCTGCCCACTTCAGTCTGGCCTCTGCCTGCGACTCCAGGCTGTTCTGCAGGGACCTGCCGGAGCATAAATCCCAATGATGCTTCCAGTGTTGTTCCTTCTAGAAAGCTCTTTCCTTGCCTGCAAGGACACCTCCCTCTCCTTATGGTCCTCCTAAGTCCTTCTGTGGCTCAGTCTGAGTGAATTTGCCTGGTTCCTCTTTCTTTGATCTTTAAACATTGGATTTTCCCAAGGCTTTGGGCCTGGGCCTCTTCCCTTTCCTTCAGCAATACTTACGGTTCAATCGCCACATTTATGTTGATGATTCCCCATTTCTTTCTCTAGGCCAGAACTCCTGAGTTCCAGTGGCTTATTCACCAATTGTCCTCTTTTTTCTCATACCTGATATGTCCTATGTTGAAATACCTTTTTTCCCTACTTATCAGCAAGAATGCTTTGGGCTGCAAATAATAGAAAAAATGACAACAAAAATGCCTGGAGTGATAAGGATGTATGTTACCTCACATTACAAGAAGGCCAGAAGCCACGAAATTGATCAGCAGCTCAACACCCCGTGTTCTTTCTACCTCTCTGCTCTGCCTTCTCTGTGTGCTGCCCTGGTGCCCCACCTTTGGCCCTTCATGTTAACAAGAAGGCTACCCTTTCTGAGTATCACAAAAATATCTTCTGGAAGAGGAGGGCTGTGTACCAATGGTTATTTTTCCCTCCTCCTCAAAGGCTGGATCACATGCTTATGCACATGCAACCTGCAAGGGAAACTGTGAAGGGAAGCCAGGTTTCTCCTCTACCTTACCTTGGCTCCTGGACCCCTGAAGCACTGTCTGACCTTCATCCTTTGCTTCTGCTCTGACTGTCCTCAATCTAGCGTCCACCTACTGCAGCTGAACAAGTTGGGTAAAGGACAGTGTGCATGCGGGCATAATGCCAACATGTCTTCTCACCTCCCATGCCTCAGGGTTTCCCACCAGGAAGACTTGGCCACAGGGG